AATATAACAGTAAATTTTATAATATATATAGTACTTATTTATAATAATATTTTATTAAAAATGAAACATATATAAATGTGGAGGACTATTTGATAAATAAAAAAGTTCAACTCCATTTTGGAGTAATGAGTTGGTTTACTCCATATTTGGAGTAATCATGTTTGTTACTCCATTTTGGAGTGAGTTTTGGAGTAGGGTTAGAGAAGATTTTACTGCAAAATGAAGTTTGGAGTGGGTTTTAGAGTGGGGTTGGAGATGCTCTAAGACCAAAGAATTCCACTTCATTAGTGTATGTTGGTGGAAAACAAAGTAATAGATCATTTTTCATGTCACATAAAAATATGTTTACTTTCTTGTCCACTAATTTATAAAAACATACTATATGCAACCAGAAAAAGATCACAAGTCAAATTCTTTATTTGTCACACCATTTTTGTTCTTCTCTATCAACAATATACTCGTCATTAATGGGCCACGTTGATCACTCTCTTCTCTTTCAATCAATCACTCGTCAGTACAACTTAAACAATATGGGCCAAGTTTGAGCCTTAATCTGGGTCATCATCTAAACCGGGTACGACCCGAATTATCTGTGTGCTTTTAATCGTGGTGCCAAACGAATCCTTATTCTTATATTTGAAGCTCCTGTAAATTCCTCGCGATTCTCAACATATTAGTTTTTTGTTCTTATATGTGGTTTTGCGTTGGAGTTTTTACTCCTGCAGTTAAATGGTTTTGCAACTAAGCACATCATTTTTCCATGTAAACCATATAACATGATCCTATCCCATGATCGCTAAACATTCTCCACTAGACTTTTTAAGTACAAGTATGGCCAAAGGGTCATGTCGATAAGTTGCTAGACATTTGAAGCTGACCAATAATTTTGGCAAAATGACAAACATCATATCAAGATTGGTCATATACATGATAGACTCCTAGTCATTGTTGAAATAACCGTAATTAGTACAAGTACTGAGTACTTAAACATGCACGTAGAAATTACAACAAATCTGAAAAGTTGCAAATATGTATTTACTCGTGGGGAGTTTTGTTAACAAAAATGACATGAAACGAAGAATTAGATATAAGTGCAAAAAGAACCAGTCATTATATGTTTTTATTTATTTTTGTCGAGGAGAAATTATTTATTTAATTTGCTAAATGAGTAGTAATTAATAGGAAGAAGGAATCTTTGCAATTCAAAAGGACGTCAAATTTCCTAATGAAGAAATTTGAAGATGCTCACAAAATACTAAAAATAATATTAATTATATAAATGGTGGATAGAAGCACTAGACAAATTCGATTCTCCTTACCAGTAGGCAGTATAATCATATCCATCACTATGACATTGGACGGTGTTGGCAGTGGTACTTTGCTCAATTTATACTTTTATTTATGAGAGTCATCTATCAATTTAATAGTATGATCTTAAGATAGTTAAGTTGCTATAGTTTTTATTAATCACCCAATATAACCTTATATTCTTAAACACCTATTGTCAATTATAGCAAGGCCGTCTAATAACATTTGCAAGTAGAGCGGTCAAACATGCCTCATCTAAAAATAAAAATACAAAAAATAAGAAATTTAAAAAATATATAGATAAATTATAATAAAGACTTTAAAATATATAGATATATTGTTAGATTATAACTTAAATTTTTTTAGAAAACATCAAACATAGTTATTAACTTTTTAAAAATTCATTAAATTATTAAATACATCATTAATATTTTTTTGAACAAGATCTAGAAATCATTTGAGACGGCCTTGATTATAGCACAATTACTTTAATGTCCCATAACTTAAATATATGAAATTACAGAAATAGAACCAAAATGATTATAGTCTGTCCATTGGTGAAGTTCAAATGGTAGAGGATTCGTTTTATCGATCAAGATCAGAATCTATTCATCCACGAGACTGTGACAATCATACAGTAATTCTTTCTTGGTTGTTAACATTTCAGATAAAACACAACAAACCTAAAAGTTTCAATATACTCTAATGTCGTTCACATTCATATTTAGGTGCATGAATAAAATATATATCATTCTCGAGACTACTAAAACTTTCATGATTAACGTTCTTATTTAAGTTTTGACTTTCGAAACACCATGCGTGGCATGCACAGAGAAACTCCACGGTATATGGAGGAACATCTTGACGAACATTCCATATTATAATATAATCTATTTAAGCACTTAGGCAGCATCAATTCTTTCTAATTATATAATCATAAACGTGGTATATCCTTAATAATGGGGTTTTAGCCTTTTATCAATATAAAATAGTATATTATCTTTGAGTGATTAAGGCGATCCCAAAAGGTACGGAGGAGAAGAAACAAGCATTTGATTCTCTTTATATATTTTGATGCATCCTTCACTAATGATGGTGGAGAGAAAAAGAAAAATACCCAACAAGCAAATATTGTCAAAACTGAAATAATTGTCATATATTAATTTTTAGTTAATTAATTATTATTCTTTACTTTTCATGGCTTATATAAGACAGGGATCAAACACAAGATCAAAATGCAGCAGCAACTCATATTATCATCACCCATCTCCTTTAGTTATATTTTCCTCTTATTTCATTTTCTTCATAGGTTTGTAATAAACAGTCTTTAGTTCCCTTAAGACTCTATAAGAGGAGGTACTAATACTACCTTTCAGTTCTTGTAATATAAATAAATTGTTTATGGTAAAGAAAATAAGTAAACTAATGTTGGTTTTGTACTAACAGATGGGTGAAACCGCTGCCGCCAACCACCACCATCACGGCCACCAAGTCTTTGACCTGGCTGACCCTAAACAACAAGCTTTCAAATGCTTTGATGATGATGGCCGTCTCAAAAGAACCGGTTACAATTCTAAACAAAACAATAAATATAAACTTTGTTTTATAAACGTTACTGCTGAAACGCAAAACTAAACGTGTTTTTTTTTGTTTATAATCTAGGTACTGTTTGGACCGCAAGTGCTCATATTATTACCGCGGTGATCGGTTCAGGCGTTCTCTCGTTAGCATGGGCCATTGCACAGCTTGGATGGATCGCTGGACCTGCGGTGATGCTTTTGTTCTCTTTTGTTACTCTCTACTCTTCCACACTTCTTAGTGACTGCTACAGAACCGGAGATGCAGTCTCTGGCAAGAGAAACTACACTTACATGGACGCAGTTCGATCCATTCTCGGTAATTATTTCATTTCGATTTACTCTATTATTTTATACTCCTTCGGTTTCATATTATGGTTTTAACCTTTTCATTTTGTTTCATTATAAATGTCGTTTTATATTAATAGTAAATAATTTTTTTAAATTTTAAATTTCTTTCTAGTTTATTAATTAATAAAATCAAATAAACAATTTATTAAATAGAATATGTATGCAAACTTTAAGTGACACTTATTAAGCTATTTTTTTGTTTGGTTTTTATGAGCTCTTTTTTTTTTTAATTGTAGGTGGATTCAAGTTCAAGATCTGTGGGCTGATTCAATACTTGAATCTCTTTGGCATCGCCATCGGTTACACAATAGCAGCATCTATAAGCATGATGTGAGTGTTTCTTATTTTACTTGTGAAACAAGCTTCAAACAAGTTATAAATTAACATTTAATGTATCATGCAGGGCGATCAAAAGATCGAACTGTTTCCACAAGAGCGGAGGAAAAGACCCGTGTCACATGTCAAGCAACCCTTACATGATCATCTTCGGTGTGACAGAGATCTTGCTCTCTCAGGTTCCTGATTTTGACCAGATTTGGTGGATTTCCATTGTAGCAGCTGTCATGTCCTTCACTTACTCAGCCATTGGTCTAGCTCTTGGCATTGTACAAGTTGCTGGTAAGACATAGACACATAAACACTCACATAATCTTCATGAGAGTTATGTTAAATCTTTATTTGAAATCTCTCAGCAAATGGAGTTTTCAAAGGAAGTCTCACGGGCATAAGCATGGGAGCAGTGACTCAAACGCAGAAGATATGGAGAACGTTTCAAGCACTTGGAGACATTGCTTTTGCTTACTCATACTCTGTTGTCCTAATCGAGATTCAGGTAATAAAACAAAACCTTACTTGCAACACAAGATTCAAGTATTTTTCCAAAACCCTAAAGAGAAAAATTCAACTTTGGTTCTTGTTATCTAGGATACTGTAAGATCCCCACCGTCAGAATCAACAACGATGAAGAAAGCAACAAAGATCAGCATTGCAGTCACCACAATCTTCTACATGCTATGTGGATCAATGGGCTACGCAGCCTTTGGAGATGCAGCACCAGGAAACCTCCTCACAGGTTTCGGATTCTACAACCCGTTTTGGCTCCTCGACATAGCCAACGCAGCCATTGTAGTCCACCTAATAGGAGCTTACCAAGTCTTCTCTCAGCCCATCTTCGCCTTCGTTGAAAAATCAGTCTCAGAGAGGTTTCCAGACAATGACTTGCTAACCAAGGAACTCCAAATCAAAATCCCAGGGTTTAGGTCTCCGTACAAAACAAACGTTTTCAGGGTAGTTTTCCGGTGTTGCTTCGTCGTTCTAACCACCGTGATATCGATGCTAATGCCGTTCTTCAACGACGTGGTTGGGATCTTAGGAGCCTTAGGGTTTTGGCCCTTGACGGTTTATTTTCCTGTTGAGATGTATATAAAGCAGAGGAAGGTGGAGAAGTGGAGCACGAGGTGGGTGTGTTTACAGATGCTTAGTGTTGCTTGTCTGGTGATCTCTATCGTCGCCGGAGTTGGATCTATCGCCGGAGTAATGCTTGATCTTAAAGTCTACAAGCCCTTCCAGTCTACGTATTGATGATTGATGATGATGATAATGGACTGAGAACAAAAGAAAAGTGGTACTGTATAAAGCTTATTGTTTATAGTAAGCATTTGGAAGAAATGTTGAAAATGTGTATAATGTAAGTTTACATTTCGTATTGTATCATCTTTGTAATAAATTTAATATAATATGTTATAAAATTAGTGTACTTTATTCTCTATTAATTTTTTTTTTTAAACATATTTTCTCTATTAATTAATTTATAGTTTTTGTTATTACTTGTTCATCTGGTTAAATTGTAATAATGTTACCATATTTGACTATATAAGAAGATCAGTAATGATTTAAACCACACAATTTATAATAAACACGTTTTAAACTTTGTTTATAGTAGTAACTTTATATATACCAGTTCCCATCTATCTTTTTTGTTATGAATGAATGGTTTAATGGAATTTGAATCAAAGTGAAACTGGTTATTAAAATATTAAAAGTGAAAATTCAAAAAGAGCAATTTGGATGGCTTTTTTTAAAAGAGAAATTCCTCAATAGTCAAATTAGGCTGTCCACCCAGCCTAATAACAATAAATATATATCTTTTTTGGTCTAATATTCCATCTCACTTACCAAAAACATGTAGGGTTCTTGGATCTTGGAAATGATTAGAATCTTTGAAAGTATCTACAATTTGGTTAAGGCACGTGTCTGAAAACAACCCACAAGCTTTAAAGGTTTGGTACTAAAGTCAGAGACTCAGTTTCTGACAAAGACCCTGATTATCTGTTTGCCTTTGCATCTATGCTATAGACCATGGTAGCTTTGTTTGTTAGTTCCAAACGAATCAACATTATCAGATAGAAGAGGAGATGACATGTACTGTCTGAAATGGTAACTGGTGTTATATCACACACATTACTACCAGATTCTGGTTTGTGCTCTACCAAAGAAGTTGTAGATAATCTAGGTTTCAATAAAAGATTACAATTAGCAATGTAGATAATCTTTTATATTTTATTACATGGGAGCATTTGATAAGAGTCTACTTAAAGAGGTACATCTGATGGGTAATCTTGTGGGTGACTTTTGATCGTCTTCCTCACCAGAAGTTCCTGTTCCCTGAGGTTCAAAGGAGGAACATCGTAGACATCTGAGAACATGTGATTCAGATTCGGTTTCTCAGTCTTCTCTGCAACCCGGATAGCTTCTAACATCTGTTTACAAGAAAACAAAAATATAAAAAACCAAAAATGCTTCTTATACAAATGCTCATGAGCCCATAGTTAACTTTTTAGTTACCTCTTTCTTGATTCTGCTTCTCAGATCAGATTCAGCTTCATCACTCCACCAGCTATTACTTTCAACCCAAGTCCTAAACCTAGACAACGGGTTTCTCGCTTTGTTCCACCACTCTATCTCATCTGCAGAGCGGTACCTAGTGGAATCATCTGACGTTGAGTGGTGTCCTACACGATACGTTAAGGCCTAACACACAAACCAAAACAAAGACATGATTTAGAGTTGTTTGTGTCTTTTTGATGTTGCATCTAATAGTAACCTCAATCAAGATTGGCCTATGTTCTCTAACTGCCATCTCCCGCGCTTCGTGCACCGCACTGTACATAGCAAGCGCATCGTTTCCATCCACACGTATACTCCTAATCCCATAAGCACGGCCTTTCACCACTACACCATCACCTGTTGTTTTGCCACAAACAAAAGTATTTGAAAATCCAAAAGACTTCAAGACAAGACATGTCCAAAAAAGCAAAAAGCAAAAAGCAAAAGGAGTTAGTTACTTCGGAACTGATCTGAGGTTGGAGTACTAATCGCCCATCCATTGTTCCGACATATAAACAAAACAGGTGCTTCCATAACTGCTGCAAAGTTCAAAGCAGCGTGGAAGTCTCCCTACCAAATAACAAAACATTATTTTTTGATCAATCCAAAAGGCTCAGCACTAATGCAAACAAAGCTTCAATAATTCACCTCACTGGAGCCACCATCGCCAAAGAAGGTGACTGCACATGCATCCTTACCATCCATCTTTAAGGAATAAGCAGCACCAACAGCATTTGGTAATTGCGTACTGTAGACAATAGATACCATTAAGCAACATAAAAGTAGATACTATAAGATTACTATAAACTAGTTTTTGAGTCAGTAAAAAAAATACGCTATTGTGGCTGAAACAGTGAAATAATTAAGCTTATTAGACCCATAATGAACAGGCATCTGCCTTCCTTTGCCATAATCAGCTTTATTCCCAAAACACTGGTTTGCAAACTCTTGAAGCGTGAAGCCACGCCACAGTAGAACACCAGGCTCTCTATACTGAGGGAAGATAACATCATGAGGAGAAAGAGCAGCAGCTGAAGCAATATTAATAGCTTCTTCACCGAAAGCAGTAGCGTAAAACGAAAGTCTCCCTTGTCTTTGAGCTTCGTAGAATATGTTATCCATTATCTGAAGTGTTACCATATCACTATACATCTTCACAGCGATTTCTTCACTAACGGGAACAAACTGGCTGTTGGTGAGTTGTTGGCCGTTGTCATCGAGAACACGGTAGCAAGGCACACGGTCTTCGTTGGATTCGGGTATGAATTGAATCTCAGGTGTGAATGATACTTTTCCTCCAGGAAAATCCATGACCTGAAGATTTATTTCGTTATACATATAGTTAAATAGTCTACATGAGTGATTAAAGAGTCAGCACCTGACGATTGGTGTCTTCGTGTGAGAGCGTGTCTACCATGGTGTTACACAAACGAGTTATTGGATTAGGTGAGATTCGTGTATTATGTGGTAGGTTATGGGGGAGATGACGAGACGCGTGGTTTGGAGAACCGAAGATGAGGTTGTGTCTGAAAATGTTGAGGAGAGTTGATTTTGATGAAGAAGATTTCAGAAGGTGAGCCATTTTGTTGTGTTTAGGATTTGATAGAAGAGAAGATTTGGTAAGGGACAGAAACTCGATTTGTTGAAGGAGATGATGTCTTGTTTTAAGAGAGAGAGAGAGGTTGTTGAGTGTGTTCTGTTTTATTGAACAGATTTGATTCCTTAATTCACCAAGTGGAATCTTACTACAGTGCATAGGGAAACGTTATCACGTCCATCGTGTCAAACTAGCAGAAACCGAGATCGTCTCTCTATGGGCCAAAACATTACACTATTTAGCCCATTAGCTAAACAGTACACTAGTTAGTTTCTGTTATAGAGAAACTAATTTTTAACTTCACTTCAAGACCAACAAGATAATACACCAGAAACATCAACTAGATTATCCATCAGATATTCCTCTTTATCTAAAAAAAACACTTACCATATGCTCTGTGTAATAAGTTATGATTGATTCCTGAAATTTTTATATAAGCTGAATTTTTGGTTAATATACTCGTAGATTTTACATAAATTCGAGTTCAGATTATATTAAAAAGTCGATAAATACTTTTGACACGTGAACAAGGGAACTGATACTCAAGAACCTCATTGAATAATTGATTCTTTGAAACCGTATAGTTTCTTGAAAGTCTAGTCTATGAAGTTGTACTTTACAGCCTTGTTAGGAATGAGAAGCAAAGATGTAAAATAGGTGTTTTCTAAATGTTCTGCGGCAGTAGACTTTTATGCTAAACAGAGCACCAGTAATGAAACTAAAGAACCTTTTCGCAGATATAAACATATCCTAAGAAGAGAGCTATTTGCTTCACATTCAGCTTATATTCACAACATGGATCGCATCAGTTTTCGTTAAACAAGTACTCATCGCATTTGAAACACATAAGGGGACACAAAAGTAACAATAAAGATCTCCCCGTTTCTACATGCCAAAGAGAAACAAGATAGCGAGAGAGAGAGAGGGTTAGGCCAAACCAGACAAGCCAAGACGATCAGCAACGTTGTACATAACCAACTTATCCCAAACAGGTCCAAAAAGCTGTTCACCACCTATCGAGAATGTCAATGCCCAGGATAAAAGCAGAGCTGTAAAGACACTGAACCCAATTGCTGACCTAACAACGTCTACAACACACATCACAAAGATAGATTAGAATGTACAAAAAAAAAAAAAACTAATCCATCCATTTCAATTTATTTGTCATTCTAGGTTTTTACACCCGGAAACATTTAGTTTTACACATTTTCAATATAAAAACACAATTATCAATACAATTAACCACTTTTTTTTTTTTTGAATAAAATGTTAAATTTGATTCAAAAAGAAAAAACCTTTTTACACATAGTGTCCTTATCTAAAGTTTTCAAAATATGCTGAAATAAACAACAATCAAAAGGAACTCAATTTGAACTCTTATCTCCAAGCTTCTTATCTCAACCTTTTCCAAGTTTAGCTCTCACTCCTACTAAACTCCCAGCTCTCACTCCTACTGATTTCCTTCTCCTCCCTATCTTTTACCCAGCCCTCACTCCTACTGGATAACCAGCTCTCACTCCTACTGGATCAAGACATTTCCAACAAAAACTCAAGTAAACAAGGCAATGAAGCAACCTGCTCAACTCTGTCTAGTAGCGAACCAAAATTGTAACCCACCAACCAGCTTCTTATCTCGACTAGCATGGATGATAGTAAACTTGTTTCTCACCGTTTTATCAATCAACTTGGCCAGGAGAATTGCAGGTGAAGCTTTCTCCCCGTGCCTCCTTCTGTTCCTTTCTCGCCAAATGCAGTGAACCGTAGCCTGAAGCAAATATCGAATGGTAAAGAGGAAGAGCTTGTCCTGATTTTCATTTACTATGATTCTCCTTAACTCAGACCAGTTCGTGGTATACCTTGCATTCAAAATACCAGTAGCCAACATCTCCCAAATCTGCTTCGAGAAACTACAAGCAAAAAATAGGTGATCAACTGTTTCTATAGGCTCATGACAGAATATGCAAGAAGGATCAATACTAGCATTCCATTTCAACATCCTATTTCCCGTTGATAATCTGTCCCGCATAGCAATCCAGATTATAAATGAGAATTTAGGAGTGGCATGCTTGAACCAAACCGCACCCGACCAATCATAAACTTGATGATTTTCTCTCAAAGATCTCCAAGTTTCTGAAGTGCAGAATCTCCTTTTATACTTGTTTTTATCAGTCCTCCATAGTGAAATATCCTCCTCATTAGGAACTCTTGACATTCTAAAATCTTCTATCACTGCTTCAATTCTGTTAAGAGTTATATACCGGTGATGTTTTCATCGATGGCTTAAGCTATCAACCACCCGAGCACTCTCTGCTATACCCATCCCAATACATCAACCAATAGAAAAATAGAATATCATATAAACTTAATAAATTATGTCTCGAAAATCTAAAAAGACACTTATTTTGAAACGATTTTTTTCCTTTAGAATGACATCTAATTTGAAACGGAGGAAATATCTAAAATCAGAAGTGAACACACAACTCAAAGCCAACAATACTCATCTCTAAGAATACATATAACACTTATCAGTACCGGCAAATCACAATGCTGATCAAGATTCAACCGATTTATAAAAGATCGATTCCCAATCTACAAAATCGAAAATAGTATTTTAGTAACAAAAAGGAAAAATCGAAAATAGTATCAGGGAAACTTACAATTGCGGATTTGAGGGAAAGCACGAGAGTGACGGAGAACAGGCCAGAAGTAGAAGCAGTTAACAGCCCAGAGCCAAGGCAAGAGAGCGAATCCGAACTTGTAGAAGCGACGAGCGTAATCCACCGATGCTTCCTCCGTTAGCCCCAACGGACCGTCGATTGTTGGCCAAACGTGTGCTGAAGATATTATAGGCGACAATGGATTCGGATTCGAAGTACGATCGATGTTAGGGTTTTGATTCGGTTCGTCGCTCCGTGAAGCCTCCATTTTGCTCAGCCAATAGCGGAAATGAAAAACAAAAAAAAAGAACACGAATTAAGCTGCGACGACGTCGTTTAGTAATAAGATTAATTAGACTGGTTTAAACACCAGAAAAGAAGCCGCGACATCGTTTTAATGACAAGATTACTACACCACAGAGTAGCAGCGACGTCGTTTTGGTGTTAGCGTTAGTAAAGTACAACAACAAACTTGTAATTCCTCTTAATTTTGAATGATAATTGTGTATATGTGCATTAGTAAAGTACAATAACAAACTTGTAATTCCTCTTAATTTTGAGTGATAACTTCTCTTGATCTCATAATAAATACTTTTAATCCTCTGACCTTTAAACAAGGACTAATCTGATACAAGAGACTCAGTCACTGTAATGTTTCAATCTTATCTTCTGCAACTACATGTTTAGAATCAACATCTTCATATCAGTGTCACCCTCTCTCTCTCTCTCTCGCTTCTGCAAAATCAATGTCTTTAGTATCTGTTTGTTCTTGAACCTTGTTACTAACTTCTTCAGCCATTACTTGTGCAAAATTTAAAGAATATCCTTTCATATAATGCTGATTCCGACAAGACCAATGATGATGTTTGGTGTCTTCCGAGTCAAGTTAAGACTGTTTAGTGTTTACAAACTGTTGAATTTTTTTTTGGATGAATAATTTGCCAAACGATTAACATAAAGCCATAACGAAACAGAAACAAGTTGGATAAAAAATTGCAAATCAATCCAAGGAAGTAGTAGAGAATGACAAGGGAGGAGGTTTTGCGACATAAAAGAGATGATGAAAGGACAAGCTAAAAGAAGAGAGTTTCAGACACAAGCATACAAGGGTGCCTATTATGTCAAGGTTTCATCGACTGTCTATAATGCTTCAGCTGATTTGAGAAGACATGGAGAGGACCGAACTGGGCAGCAGAGGATTCTTGGTTTTGGACCTCTTTGTTCATGTTTGGGGCAGAAGAGGATTCTTGGTTTTATACCTCTTTGTTCATCATGTCTGGTCCGTGTCACATGAACGCAGAAAAGCCAAAGGATCATCATCATCAGCAGTGGACAAATCAAAGTGGCCTTGATTGCTAAGATAAGAGTCGCTAACATTCCCAATTGGAGGTTGATCTAATGAAGCTGTGAGATCTTGTAGCTCCAAGTATAACTCCGAGTTCTCCAATAGGTCGTAAGAGGGTGTCCTTGGCATGCTGTTGTCATGCATATTGCTCAAGTCTAGTAGTTCGTTGAATATGCCTTCTTCTTCTACGCAAACCGGAGCTGGAACATTGGGATCATGTCTTACCTAGACACGGGAAGAGTTTATACAGTTTGATTCAGAGGCATGCTATTCTTTTTCTTTTATTAGCAAAGAAACTTCATTACTGTTTATTAAGTTCCCATGAAATTAAACCCTAACAATTGCTAAGCATCATTTACTACCAATCACACACAGCTACTTACTAAGCCACTAAGACTAAGAAAAATGTAGCCGAACACATACCTCATTGTTGATGGGCTCACAGAAACGCAAGTACTCATCCTCATCAACAAAGACATCCAACATTGAATATATGTCATCATAGTCGTTGGTGGAAGCTTGGAGGGTCGGCACCAGAGAGTCAGTGCTATTAGAATCAATAAGTGGAGGAGCAGTCATAGGAGTGTGAGCTGCATTATTCAGATGTGGAAGCTCACTGGTAGTAGCTGTAGATGGTGCTAAATCAGAGACCCACGATTCATTCAGATGTGGAAGCTCACTGGTAGTAGCTGTAGATGGTGCTAAATCAGAGACGCACGACTCAGATATCATGCCACCAAAACAATCCTTGTTAGGGTCCTGTGAGGGCGCCACAACCAGACTGGTTTCTGCGTCAGGCCGAAGAAGGTTTGCGAGATAGCTTGTAGCAGGAACATTAGTATGTTGTTCCTGATCACTCCAGTCTTCTTCATTGAACGGAGCCCCATACTGAGCTCCATTTCTAGGTCCTGGTCCATCTTTCTTGAATAGAACACATAGCACATAAGTATCCTGTAAATCAACAAACCAAGAGTGGTATAAGCTTATAAGACATGAATCACAAATAATGAAATATCATGTTTTACAAATAGGATGCTATAAGATACATGTACAAATTGACTGTTACCTGAGGAATATTCTTCTGTGTGAGTACCTTATCTTCAAGCCTATACTCGTGCATAACCCAATCAGTCCGATCCCCACGTGGTGACTTACCAACGTGATAAACCAGAGTCCTAATCTTCCCAACAACTTCATCATTGCAAAGAACAGCTCTCTCCTTCCCTGTGGTCTTCCAGTAACCACACTCAGTTGCACGGTTTGCCCTAACTCCAGTTGCATACTTCTTTTCCCTTGGGCAGAAGAAGTGCCACTTAAGATCCCCACTCTTTATATAGGACTTATCTGTAAAGACAAAGACTCGTTAGAACGAGAAAAGAGACAGCCATCCGAACATTTCCATAACAGAACAAGAAGGTAATGAAATGATTACCAGGTAAATCAGAAGGTTCGAACTTGTAAATGTCAAGTTCACAAATAGCATCAACGAGGAGCTTTTTCCCCAACACTTTCCTCTTCAAGTAATATCTCACCAGTTCAACATCAGTAGGATGAAACCGAAAACCAGGAGCCAACTGAGTTTTCCCCATTGGCACAGATCCAAAGGGGAAAACTTTCACTCTCCGCAGTTAACTCCTCAAGCAAGGAGGGAGTTTTGCGCAGAAAAATTCAAATTCACAGTAACGGGACCAGTAAAAGCGAATACTTTGTAATCAAATCAAAAAGAAAATTTGCAGAGAAGCAAGGAAGAATAGAGAAGAATAGAGAGAGAAGGAGAGAAGAAGAGAGGAGAGAGAGAGACTAAGTCCAGTGCCTAAACAAGATGATCTGAAAGCACCACAACTTCCCCCTGCTCATATAACCACAGTCACACCAAAGAAAAGATGGATTCTTCTTGCAGAGATCAACAGACATCTGGTGTGCAACGTAAGGCCTGTTATTCAGACATTGAAAAAAACACAAGACTTTAACTACACAACCAACTGGATACAAAAATACAAAGCAGATGTTAAAAGACAAATATATCAATTTGGTCCTAAACATAGACAACGAGCTAAAACTAGAAAGAGTAAACCCTAAAAACTCCAAATCAGAGCCACAATTCACAAGAGACAAAAACCCTAATTTGAGGAATTAAAAGGGAAAATGAAATCCGACAACAACATAGTTAAAATTAAAAATCAAAATCGAGAACATGGATTAATAACGTACCGGGAGAGAGGAAATACTCGACGGTGGAGAGGACGATCAGAGCAAGGCGGAGGCGAGCTAGAGAGAGTGGCGTGAAAGAAAAGCCAGAAGTGAGGAAAAGGTTATAAAAGTCTTAGGGTTTTATATACATGACTGAGCTCAAGACCATACGCGTTGACTGAGACAGTATTGGGTCTAATTTTAATTAAAAGCCTTTATGGCCCAATAGACTAATCTTAACCGTTTTTTCTGGTTTAATCCGGTACAATTCTTCAACTACTTTACCTTTTAGGTCCGCTTAAAAAGCGCGGATACCATTTTTGTTATTTTATCTACACATAGATTGATAAGTCTTTTGGTTGCTTTGATGATATAAAATATCACAGAATCAAGATCAAATTATTATGCAGGTATGAAATTTTTTTATTTTATAATGTCAGATTATAAATAAGTTAACAATGGTTATACCTGAAATGTGTACTTGAAAAAGATTATATATTTAACAATTAAATGGTCTAATTTTTTTAGTTTTGTGATTAATTCTTAAATTATTTAGTTACAAATTTTCAGTCGCTCAGTCCGACCTGCCCCATCCGACCAGTAGCGGGTTGAGTCATTTTTTTGACTAAAAATATTGATCCGTGTGATCCGCAAAGAAAATATATTTTTGCAATATTTTTTATAAAATTTGGAGGAGAATCAATCTATTGATAAAATCTATTAGTATATAACTTTATGCTCAAAAAACAAAAGATTATATTATCATTAATGAAAATAAAAATTTGTTTATATCATTAAGGTATAATTGAAAAACATAAAAAAATCTATTAAATAGAATCTATACTATTATAGAAGAAGTAAATTTGCTTAGTTGTCAACTTCTCCTTGATTTTAGGTAAATTTGTTTATTTACCTTATTTAAATAATTTCATATACAATTTATTATTTAATAAAAACGAATTTATATTAATAATATTATATTTTAGAAATTATGTTAATTATTTTGAATTAAATTATTATCTTAAAAATGTATTTTCTATTATAAAATTCAAGTGAAATTACTAATTGATTTTACCTATAATTTTGTACTACATTACTAATATATTTTGTACTATCTATAATTTTATATAATTAAAACAAAGTTATCATAATATATTTTTAGAAAATAAATAAATTATGCATTATACTGTTAACTTGAAAATATGTTTTCTATTATAAAATTTAAAATTAAAATATAAAAATTATAATTAAATATAAATTAAGTAAAAATATTTGTATAAATATTATAATTAAATATAAATCAAGCAAAATAACTATAGGAATATATTTTTTAAAAAATATTTCTTATGTTTGAGTTCGGTCATTTATAATTATTTGATGTTTGATTTGTACTTTTAAAAAACATAAGTAATAAATTAATGAAACATCAACTAATAAATATTCATAAGAGAATTATGCCCGCAAGTGCGGACAAAACACCTAGTGTTTCTATTGATTTATAATTTTAATCAAAAGCCTTGGCCCAATAGACCAATCTAACCGTTTTTTTATGGTTTAATCCGGTACAATTCTTCAACTACTTACTTTACCTTTTATTTATTCAAACCGGTTCAGCAGAGAGAGACTGAGAGATCATCGGGAACCATGGCTGAAGAGAGCAGCTTCGATGGTTCCGAGAAAGAAGAGATCGCTAGCTCAGGTAACGGTCTCGGAGATTTCGCATCGATGGACTCTATCGAATCTCGTTGGGTCACACAAGACGATGAAGATTCGGATCACAACATAGACGATGACGACGATGACGAATTCTACGGAACCGGACTTGAATCAGAGGACGAGGAGATATCAGAGCACCACCGTCTGATCCGTACCGGTCGTCGTGTTGACTCCTTCGACGTGGAAGCTCTCGAAGTTCCCGGCGTTTCAAGGAACGATTACGAGGTGATTAATTAATTTTCGAATTTTGTGCATATGAATTGTATAATAAGTGTTTTTTTTTTGGACTTTGATATAGGATTTGACGGTGGGGAGGAGAGTGATGCTTGCGTTTCAGACCCTTGGGGTTGTATTTGGAGATGTAGGGACAAGTCCTTTGTATACGTTTAGTGTGATGTTTAGTAAATCACCTGTGAGAGAGAAAGAAGATGTTATTGGAGCGTTGTCATTAGTGATATACACTTTGCTTTTGATTCCTCTTGTTAAGTATGTTCTTGTTGTTCTATGGGCTAATGATGATGGTGAAGGTATGCCTCTGGTCTCTTAATATTCTTGTGTACTGGCTACTTATGAGTGATGATGTTTTTAGGTGGGACGTTTGCGTTGTATTCGTTGATCTCTCGTCATGCGAAGATTAGTCTTATTCCTAATCAACTTCGATCGGATACTCGGATTTCGAGTTTTAGATTGAAGGTGCCTTGCCCTGAGCTTGAGAGATCACTGAATCTGAAAGAAAAGCTTGAGAATTCGTTGATTCTGAAGAAACTTCTCCTCGTGCTTGTTCTTGCTGGAACGGCCATGGTGATTGCTGATGGGGTTGTTACTCCTGCAATGTCAGGTTCGTGCTAAATATGTTCATAGACATCACTCTGTTGTATCTAGCAAAGGGGTTTCCACTACCATGTGGACTTATCTTGGTTGCTTGATTTTTGTATTGCAGTGATGTCAGCTGTTGGTGGACTTAAGGTTGGAGTTGAAGCAGTTGAGCAAGGTAAGCGCATGTGATAGTGTGATTAACTTTGAAGCTTCCATTTGCTAGTGTTTTCTTTTGGTAATTTTATATATTGATAGTGTTCACCTTTCTCTTGTTTATTCTTTGCAGATCAAGTGGTGATGATTTCAGTTGCATTTCTGGTGATCCTGTTTAGTCTGCAAAAGTATGGGACGAGTAAGATGGGACTAGTAGTAGGCCCCGCCTTACTTATATGGTTCTGTTGTCTTGCTGGTATTGGAATTCACAACCTGCTCAAATACGATAGGAGTGTTTACAGAGCATTCAACCCTATCCACATCTATTACTTCTTCAAGAGGAACTCGATAAACGCTTGGTATGCACTTGGAGGTTGCATTCTCTGTGCTACAGGTAAATTTATCAATCTCGTCGGATGGCTTCAGAAGCTAAAGCTAACAGAACCGTGTTAGCTTTTTTATGCTCAATACTCTGCCTGATACTGTGATACTTGCTTTATCTTTCAGGCTCAGAGGCATTATTTGCAGACCTTTGCTACTTTTCTGTTCGATCGGTCCAGGTAAACAAAGAGGAGAGTGGCCACTGGTGGCTGATGCCGACTCTTCTTCTATTTGTAGGCAATTTTGCTCTAATTTCTGCAACGTTGATTTATTTATTCGTTGTTGTTTTCTCCAGCTTACGTTTGTGTGTCTCGTCCTGCCGTGCCTCATGTTGGGCTATATGGGACAAGCTGCGTACCTGATGGAGAATCATGCAGATGCTAGTCAAGCTTTCTATTCATCTATTCCAGGTAAAGTTCATTTACTTTCCTCAGTCAGTTATATCCATTCCTCTTTGCTTCTTTGGTTACTGACTCTGATACCACTGCAAAGACTTTTTCGATGCTGCAGTTGAGGTTACTGACTTATTCTTTATACTAGTATTAATGATTGATTCATCATACTGTTCTGCAGGTGCCGCCTTCTGGCCCGTCCTTTTCGTAGCCAATGTTGCAGCTCTGATTGCCAGTCGCACAATGACGACAGCAACATTTTCATGTATTAAACAGTCAACAGCTCTTGGCTGCTTCCCTCGTCTCAAAATCATCCACACGTCTCGGAAATTTATGGGTCAAATTTATATACCTGTCCTTAACTGGTTCCTGCTTGCCGTTTGTCTGGTCGTTGTCTGCTCAATCTCAAGTATCAACGAGATCGGAAATGCATATGGTAATTGTTGTTTCCTTTCTTTCCTTCCGTAGCTTCTGTGGTCTGATTATGCTTCCCTCTTTGTGGAATCTTCTTTTCAATTTCCCAGGGATGGCTGAGCTCGGAGTGATGATGACCACGACAATCCTAGTGACTTTAATCATGCTTCTTATATGGCAGATCAACATCCTAATCGTCCTCGCCTTTCTAATAGTTTTTCTTGGAGTGGAACTAATCTTTTTCTCGTCAGTTATAGCGAGTGTTGGGGATGGAAGCTGGATAATATTGGTTTTTGCCGTAATCATGTTTGGTATAATGTATGTTTGGAACTATGGAAGTAAGATCAGGTATGAAACAGAAGTCGAACAAAAGATGTCAATGGATTTGATGAGAGAACTTGGGAGCAATCTGGGAACAATTAGAGCTCCTGGTATCGGTTTGTTGTACAATGAGTTAGTGAAGGGAGTACCAGCAATATTTGGCCATTTTCTGACCACACTCCCTGCAATCCACTCCATGGTCATTTTTGTTTGCATTAAATACGTCCCGGTTCCACTTGTACCCCAGAATGAGAGGTTCCTCTTCAGACGCGTCTGCACCAAAAGTTACCATTTGTTCCGTTGCATTGCCAGGTCGGTCCTTTTCCTTTTCACTAGATGTGACATTATGAGGAGATTTTATAAACACTGTTTTGTGTTATATTTGGTGAAGGTATGGTTACAAGGATATAAGAAAGGAGAACCACCAAGCCTTTGAGCAGCTACTAATCGAGAGCCTCGAGAAGTTTATCCGGAGAGAAGCTCAAGAGCGTTCCCTGGAGAGTGACGGGCACAATGATTCCGACTCAGAGGAAGATTTCTCAAATTCTACACTTGTTATGGGCCCCAACGGAAGCATGTACTCAATGGGCGTTCCTCTTCTCTCTGAGTACAGAGACTTAAACAAACCGATCACGGAATTGAACACTTCATCTAACCACAATCCCTTTGACACATCCTCTGAGTCCTCTGTATCTGAAGCAGAGCAAAGCCTGGAGAGAGAGCTATCGTTCATACACAAAGCGAAAGAATCAGGGGTCGTGTATCTGCTTGGACATGGTGATATAAGAGCAAGAAAAGATTCATGGTTCGTCAAGAAGTTGGTCATAAACTACTTCTACGCATTCCTGAGGAAAAATTGCAGAAGAGGGACGGCTAATTTGAGTGTGCCTCAGTCACATCTGATGAAAGTTGACATGACATATATGGTCTGAGCCTTCTTCCTTCGTTTTTTGTCCATAGATTTAACATTTGTAAGCTTCGTCTATGTTTCTGCATTGTCTGTCAAGAGTCTCGAGTCTTTTGACTACTAGAATCTATAGAGCATCTAGTAGAGGAAACAGGAAATTTCATGATTTGTGATATCTGGGTCTTTTTGGCATTTCTGTTTTCATTACGGTGCTTTATGCAATTATAATTTCCCGCGGGTCCATTACTGTAATTTCGTAAATTATACGTACGGACAATAAAACAGCTGTTCTTTCGTTTTCCGACAAATAACAGAAACAACAGCTGTTTTTTTCTCGTTTCATCGTCACGCCTTTTCTCTCCTCTGTTTCATTTTTTCTTTTGTTTTTTTTATTTTCCTGAAAATGTTTGATCATATGAAACTGTTGCGATGCTTCAGCTTCACGGCGTCGCGAGATTGGCTATTCAGACAATCATTCGCGAACGCCGGTCTCCGCTCCGTCGTCACAGATCTCTCCCACGGCAACTCCATCGCATCAACCACCATGCATTGCTGGATCCCCAAAACACCAAACCGAACCAAACCAAACCTCCTCCTCCTCCACGGCTTCGGAGCCAACGCAATGTGGCAATACGGAGAACATCTCCGAGCTTTCACCGGCCGGTTCAACGTCTACGTCCCTGACCTCCTCTTCTTCGGTTTATCCTCCACGTCGGAACAGAACCGAACCGAGTCTTTCCAGGCTCGGTGTCTGATGAGGCTGATGGAAGCGCATGGAGTTCATAGGATGAGCATTGTTGGGATAAGCTACGGTGGGTTTGTTGGGTACAGTTTAGCGGCGCAGTTTCCGGAGAAAGTTGAGAAGCTGGTGCTATGCTGCGCAGGTGTTTGCTTGGAGGAGAAGGATATGGAAGATGGGTTGTTTAAGGTTCCGAATCTTGAAGAAGCCACAGGGATTCTGATTCCTCAGACGCCGGAGAAGCTTAAGGAGCTTATTAGATTCTCTTTTGTTAAGCCGATGAAAGGTGTTCCTTCGTTTTTTCTTTGGGATTTTATTGATGTGATGTGTACAGAGTTTGTGGAGGAGAAGAGAGATTTGATCAAATCGATACTTAAAGATCGAAGACTCTCAGATCTTCCTAGGATCAACCAGGTGAAAACACTATACTCTTTTGGGTTTCTTGTTTTGTCATCTGCTGTAAGATTGTGTTATTGTTGATTTTATTTGGTTAATTTAGAAATCTTTGGTCATATGGGGAGAAGAAGATCAAATATTTCCACTGGAACTTGGTTACAGATTGAAAAGGTATAAACATTATCTGAGTTTTGCCATTTTTTCTAGTGAGTCAACAATTTTTATCATTAAATGATGGTGAAGCAGGCATATAGGAGAAAATGCAGAGATTGTAGTGATCAAGAAGGCAGGACATGCTGTGAATTTGGAGAAGTCCAAAGAGTTTCTCAAGCACTTGAAATCTTTTCTCATTGATTCTTTGTGAATACTGTTTTATTTTTTCTTGTTAATAGATTGATAACAAAAGATAATTGTATTTATTCATTTGAAAGGATGATTCTTTCTGTTATTCAAAATATCAAAATTATATGAGGGAATCGCGAACAGGCCTTCTCATATCTATCTACAACGAACATTGGTTTTCAATCTACCATAAGTAGTTGAATTCATAGTAAATAGAGTTAGAACCTGTTCTAGACTTTTCAAGATCACAAGTCCAAAACATAAAAATGGCTGAAAATTTTGAAAAAAAAATCATGCACATGAAGGAAATCAAACCCAGCCTCTTGCATAGGTACAATGGACAACAAACCACTAGACTATTGACACTTTTAGGAATTATGTGGTCGGTTATATGCAGGGGCGAAGCCAATGCCAAAATTAGGGTGGTGCGTGCACCCATAATTTTGTAAATATTAAACTTTCTGTATGTAAAAATATAAAGAAATTAGCTAGGTTAGATGGTTTGGTAGTGTTGTGCACCCTCTTCAAGTCTTAAGTTTGATTTTCTCTGAGACCTATTATTTTGTACCCACTGAAAATTTTCGCCCCTAGTTATGTGGTTAATAAATTTGCGGCCGCAAACTTGTGTTTCATTTGATTCTATTAATTTAGAATCATTTGATAAATTAACAAGAAACACTTCAAATATTGTGTTAAGTTTATAAACCAAACAGTAGGCCGAAAAAAAGTATATGGGCTGTGGAAAATAAAGTATCAGTGAATAACTCATGGCCTAAAGTATTATAGTGTATTTAATTTTATGGGCTTTGGAGAAATAACTCTTATGAAATTATTTGATTATTTCATGTTTATTACAATTATAAAAGATATTACTAACACAATGTAAAACAGAAAAAAACATAAGCATTATTTCTCCTTTTCATGATAAAATGACTTGAAATTTCCAAAATGCTGTAATTCAAGATTTGAAAATGTATTAAATATTGCATCAGTACAATACAACACACATAGACCTGGCACATGGGAGAGCTTTTAACAAACAAAACAAGCACCACTATGGTACCACATGAAAGCAATCTACTATATGGTTTCTTTGGGACATATTTTCCTCTTACAGGGAGAGAGATGTGACAAAAATCCAAACTTCAAACTGTTAACAAAAACAATAATAAACCAATATTTCCTATATTATTTAATTAAATTCAAAGGAGATATTTTATGACGACCATAAAAACAAAAGATACCAACATAAGGAATATACCAGATGAAGGTATCAAGCAAAAGCATATCCCCCCGGAGACTTGGATAGATCGACAAAGCCTCTCTTGCTTTAGTCACTATCACATTTTCAAGCCAAATAATCTTTTAGCTTAAATACATATAGTACTAAAAACAATGATATAGTAATTCAAAATATACATGCAATTCAATGGAGTATGGTCAACGTTTGTCAATCATCTATGTAATCATGCATGCGGTTTGATAGAATATGGTCAAAATTTAAACATTTACCAAATATATAAACATTATACATTAAACCACAAAATATTAAATCAAAATATAAACATTTACAAAATAATTGAGAAATATATGCATGCATGCAACTTGATGGAATATGGTCAAAATTTAACTAATCAAAACTTAACGTCTTTTAACAAACCACGAATCTGTTCCAACGTAACGAACAAGATCATCGTGAACGGTCCTTGCCTCGTCACCGTCGGAACAAGACCTTTATACAAAGCCATCGGTCCTTCCTCCGCCACAGTCTTCACCGCACAATCCAACGGTCCACAATAACTCTCCGCATCAGCATTCATCATCCTCGTCTTCACAACATCTATCGGATTCGACGCCACCGCAGCAACGATCCCCGCGGCAAAACTCGCCGCCGCGTGCGTTCCGATTCCTCCCGGCGTTCCACGACCTCCGGCGATTAAGATCTCTTTGACGTGATCATACGTGGCGAGCTGAGAAGCCGTCACGATCATGGCTCGGTTCACGGTTAGCCACGAGCCACGCCATAGGCTAGAGACGCCTTCGTGTTTGACGATACGTTCGATCGCGTCCACGACGCTCTTGTAGTTTCTGCGGCGGTGAAACGGTAAGCGTCCGTCGGCTTGCATTCTCACCATTGCCACGTCAGCGGGGTTCCCGACGGCGGATCCTATGGCTCCGGCGATGAGTCCAGCTGCGATTTTTGTTACCAATGGGAAGTTACCTGTAATTAGAACATGTTGTCGGGTTAATTATGTTGAGAACCAAACCAAATAAGAATGCTTAAACCGAACCGGGTTTTGTTAACAAACCGTTTTGAGTTAATCTTTTATAGTTAACCAAACTGAATTTGGTGAAATTTGAATTAAAATTTTAAGAAAACCAAGAAGAATAAAATATTTAGTTGATCAACTATGTTAATTAAATTAATAATGTAACCAATCTTATTAACTGAGTGTAAAAAATATTGAATCATTAATAGAAAACCGGAAAGAACCAATAAAAATTGAATAAAAAATAAACCAAAAAATAGGATTATACACCATAATGTAGATTTTCGTTTAATGTATAATCCTAATTTATACAAATATAGCATATTTCTATTTTCTACTAATATTTTATACAAATAAACCAAAAAAAAATAGGATTAATCTTTTATAATCACAAAACAGAATTCAGTGAAATTTGAATTAAAATTTAAGAAATCCAAGAAAAATAAAATATTTAATTGATCAACTATATTAATTAAATTACTAATGTAACCAATCTTATTAATTGAATGTAAAAAAGATTGAATCATTAATAGAAAACCGAAAAGAACCAATAAAAATTGAATAAAAATAAACCAAAAAATAGTATTATACACCATAATGTAGATTTTCGTTTAATGTATAATCCTAATTTATACAAATATAGCAAATTATTACCGGTGAGTTGGTCCGTCCATTTCCGTTTCAAAAAGTCATAAATACCCATCCGAGTGGCGGAGTAAAGCATCTGACGGAGAACAGTAGCGGAGACGCCGGAGAAGAGAGCGGCGGGTCCTTCAGTTTTGACAATGTGGGCTCCAACGGCGAAAGGAGTCGCGCTGGAGCGCGTAGAGGAAGGCGGCGTGGGAGTGGATGAAGGTAACAAGGAGATGCTGCCGATGAGAGAGTCAAGAGCGAAGACAGGTCTATATGGTTTAACGGGGAGGTTAAGATCAAGATTAAGATTATGGTTAGGGTTTTGGTCGAGAGAGAAAGAGTTTTCGCCTTGGAGCTGCATACGGACTTTGATGAGGTCTAATGGATGAGTTAGAGCTCCGGCGATGATTGCGGCGATGCCACCTTCAAGAAATGGTTTGAATCCCATTGATAACGAGAGGGTTTGATTATGCGGAGATGTGTTATGTGATTAATGTGTGTGAAAAGCAAGAGAAGAGTTTGAGAGAGATTGGATCTTTTGTAAGGAAAAAAAATGTTTGGAGAGGAAAAAATGAATTTGGACAAGTTGGAAGTGAAAGAAGACAAGAGACATAGGTAAGAAAGAAAGAAAATAATGCAGCGTACTAGTCCTGCATTACGGGCTCCAGCTTTAGCACGAGGTTTATCTTGTCTTGATGCACACCTTGTAATTAGAGAAAATAATGTAATTGGCACGCTATCATTTTTCTTACTTAGATTTACCAATAATGTTTTTATAGGTCAAGTGATTTACTAATAGTTAAATATAATTTTTGTACCACAAAGAGACATACGACTGGTTGATTACGAGAGATAACCAGTGCAGAGCATCTCTAATGGTGATATGATACCCATTAGAGTTCTTAGAAAAAATATTTTTTGATTTTTTAATTATAACTTTTATCAGATTAAAAAAAATTAACTAATCGCAGGTCATCACATATTGTGGGAGTCCGTAAATAGTGCATAAATTCACTAAAAAAAATTTTATTTAGAGATTTTAAAATTGAATTCTTAACTTTTTTTGTGAAATCTACTGATTATTAAATTTTTTTTTTTTAAAGACTCTGTTACAGATGCTCTTATATTCAAGAAGAGCTAGAGACCCATACATAAATGAAACTCTAGTACATAACTATAGATTCTATAGTAGATCTTTCTTGACTTTAATAAGAAACAAGCCAAACTATTATTGCATTTATACTTTATATTAGCAGTAATATATCATGCAAGAGTATTCACAATATAGATGTTCTTTTAACGTTCTTGGCCATTTATCTATGGATTCTTGTTCGGACCACTCGAAGTTTCCTTGGAAACACTCGTGCTTTTCACATTAACCTCTTCAGCCGTTGAAGAAGATTTTGTCTTTTCAGTCTCCGGAGAACCTCCTCCAGCCCCGGGAAAAGAAAAGCTTGGGATCCATGATGGAAATTCAAATGTAGGCTCTTCTGGCTCTTCGGGAACCTCAGGCTCTTCTGGCTCCTCGGGAACCTCAGGCTCTTCTGGCTCCTCAGGAACCTCAGGCTCTTCTGGAATCTCCGGCTCCTCGGGCAACGGCAACTCAGGCTCGTCTGGAATCTCCGGCACCTCAAGCTTTTTATATTGTGGAATCTTGGTGATCTCTTCTTCCATCAGAGAGTGACCTACTCTAGTAGCAAAACTATGCGTACCAAACAAAAAGAATGACGAGACAAAGATAAGGAAAAAGATGGAAGATGTGACAATATGATGGCGAAGGCTAGTCATCTTTTGTGATATGATTCTTCTTTCTTGTAGAGATTATGTTTGTATAAGAATGTGATCTTATGTATACTGACTTGAGATTTGAGAGAGCTCTTAGAATGTACACTTCATAATAGTCAAAAGATTTGGTGAGAAGAACTCTACCTATGGTTGTGAATAATGTGATGTTAGTCTTCAACAAACTCACCTATATTTCATTTTTACCTTTTTCTATGCATAACCCTTTAAGTTTAGTTGGGAAATTATTAGGTGTTCAAGTTGTAAACATTAGACGTTGCAAGATAATTCATATCTGCAATATGAAGTATATACTACTTAATAAACAGATCATATATTCAGAAAATGCTCTCTATTATTTAAACGCATGAAGATGTTTTAGACCAAATCTAAAAGTAGAGCAAAGAAACAAAGACATAACAATGTAAAGAAAAAAAAAACAACGAAAGTTCTTATTTTAGAGAATAACATATATTAGAGTAGATTCTTCACTTGAGAGGGATAAACCTGGAAGAATTGGTGGCACCAACACCAGGCCTACCGTGCTTAACAGGCTTATATGAGATCGAAAACTCAGCCAAGTAATGACCAATCATCTCAGGTTTGATCTCAACTTGGTTAAAAGTCTTTCCGTTGTACACACCGATGACACTTCCAATCATTTCCGGCACGATGATCATGTTCCTTAGGTGGGTTCTCACTGCTTCTGGCTTCTCACCAGCTGGTGCATCCCTTTTCTGCTCAAAAGTCATAACCTCTAATCCTTAAAAACCATTTGGTTGCAAAGAGAAAACACAAAAAAAAAATATATAGAGAATACGCATGAACATATGCATATAAAGGTTACATACCGCTTTGCGCAATTTTTTGATCAAAGCCATAGGCTTTCTTGTCAGCCCTCTAGAGAACCTATCACGAAAAATTCACATACATAACAAAATGATTAATATCGAGTTCTTAATTATAAACTCGAGACCAAAGCTATTCTTTATCAGACCTTCTGCGAATACGGGAGCTGAAGAGCTTGACAAGATCATCGGTAGACATGTCGAGGAGAGCATCGAGATCGACTCCTTTGTAGGAGAACTTCTTGAACGTTCTCTTCTTCACGATCCCAGCTGTAGCAACTGCATCCGCCTACGGATTCCCATGTAGAGAGATTATAAGATCTAATCATGAGAATATGATAGAGAGACAGAGATCTAGGAACTAACCATTGTTCAGATTGTTGAAACCCTACAAACTGAGAAAGCCTCAAAACAGTGTCTGCGCAAACGACAAACAACTTAACTTAAGAAGGAATTATAATATACCTTGGGAAAACCCTAGAATCATTTTCATTAGTTAAAAATAAATATTCCTTTTAATCTTTTATCGAGCCATACTTTTCGGAAAATTAGACCTACAAAATAAAATGAATAAACCAAAACTAGCCAAGTCAAATACAAATGAGAAAAACTAGGTAGATCATAACAGTAAATATAATGAGTAAAACTCACTGGTTATGGCTTCTCATTAGCTGGTGTCTCTCTTTTCTTGTTATGGAAGCAATAGAAAAGTGTTATCTTTTAATGTTGCATTGCATAGAACGAACACACAACTTCTCAACCATATGGAAAAGCACAGATATACAAAGAAATATGTTATAAATAAACAACACAAAATTCATTAAAAAAAGTATATCAAATACAAAGAAATTTGTATGTATGAGAACATACAAATATAACAGAGAATACAAGTATAAATGTATCAAAAAGAAAAAGAAGCATGGGTACTAAAGGAAACGATGATCTGAGATATACAGACACAAGTGTATATCTCTGCGAAAAGACAAACAAGATAAATGTGATATAGTAATTTAAGAGCATAAAGTGGGTCTGGTTCCAATAGGCTTAGTGAGTACCAGGAACCTTTGGGATTTCAGGCAACTTGGGAACTTCAGGCATTTTTGGTAGCTCTGGCTTTGGAATCTCTGGAACTTTCGGTAACTCTGGTTTTGGAACCTCTGGAATGGTCGGTAACTCGGGTTTTTGAATCTCTGGCAATTTAGGAGTCTCGGGCTTTGGAATCTCTGGCATCTTTGGTAGCTCTGGTTTCTGAATCTCCGGGAACTTAGGAGCCTCAGGCATCTTTGGTAGCTCTGGCTTAGGAACCTCTGGAATCGTTGGTAGCTCCGGCTTTGGAATTTCTGGCACCTTTGGTAGCTCCGGCTTTTGAATCTCTGGCATCTTTGGTAACTCCGACTTTTGAATCTCTGGCACCTTTGGTAGCTCGGGCTTAGGAACCTCTGGCACCTTTGGTAACTCCGGCTTTGGAATCTCTGGCACCTTTGGTAGCTCCGGCTTTTGAATCTCAGGCATCTTTGGTAGCTCGGGCTTAGGAACCTCTGGCACCTTTGGTAACTCCGGCTTTGGAATCTCTGGCACCTTTGGTAGCTCCGGCTTTTGAATCTCTGGCATCTTTGGCAACTCGGGTTTTGGAATCTCTGGCACCTGTGGTAGCTCTGGCTTTGGAACTTCCGGCAACTTAGGAGCCTCAGGCTTTGGAGTCTCCATCAACTTAGGCATCTCAGGCTTAGGAACCTCTGGCATCTTTGGCAGTTCCGGCTTAGAAATCTCCGGAAAGTTTGGCAACTCAGGCTTAGGGATCTCTGGGAACTTAGGCAACTCAGGCTTGGGAATTTCAGGAATTTTAGGCAACTCAGGCTTTGGAAGTTCGGGTAACTCGGGCATCTCTGGCTTAGGGAGCTCGGGCAACTTGGGAACTTCGAACTTGGGTAGCTCAGGGTGAGGTAGTTCAGGCAGCTTTGGTATCTCCGGTTTAGGAACTTCCTCCACTAACCGGCGAGCGTCTACTGAAACCGTATCAGCCAGCAATGCAATAAGACAGATGATCAGAATTGGTGATGAGAGGAGAAGAGAAAAGAGACTCTTCTTCATCAGTGCCATGCTTGCTCGCTTGCGTGAGAAGTTAACCCTTTATGTGTTTGTATGCTTCTTTTGCTTTGTGATGTTTGTTTGATGTTGATGTTAGTACAATACAACACATAGACCTGGCACATGGGAGAGCTTTTAACAAACAAAACAAGCAGGACTATGGTACCACATGAAAGCAATCTACTATACGGTGTCTTTGGGACATATTGTATTTTCCTCTTACAGGGAGAGAGATATGACAAAATTCCAAATTTTAAACTGCTAACAAAAACAATAACAAAACAAATATTTCCTATATTATTTAATTAAATTCAAAGGAGATATTTTATGACAACCATAAAAACAATAGATACCAACATAAGGAATATACCAGATGAAGGTATCAAGCAAAAGCATATCCCCCCGGAGACTTGGATAGATCGACAAAGCCTCTCTTGCTTTAGTCACTATCGCATTTTCTAGCCAAATAATCTTTTAGCTTAAATACATAGTACTAAAAACAATGATATAGTAATTCAAAATATACATGCAATTTCAATAGAGTATGGTCAACGTTTGTCAATCATCTATGTAATCATGCATGCGGTTTGATAGAATATGGTCAAAATTTAAACATTCACCAAATATATAACATTATATAGCAAATCACAAAAATATTAAATCAAGATATTAACATTTACAAATTGTTTTTTTTTTTTTTGAACTGAAAACATTTACAAATTGTTTTGAGAAATATATGCATGCATGCAAGAGAATATGGTCAAAACTTAATAATTATCATAACTAATCAAAACTTAACGTCTTTTAACAAACCACGAATCTGTTCCAACGTAACGAACAAGATCATCGTGAACGGTCCTTGTCTCGTCACCGTCGGAACTAAACCTTTATACAAAGCCATCGGTCCTTCCTCCGCCACAGTCTTCACCGCACAATCCAACGGTCCACAATAACTCTCCGCATCAGCATTCATCATCCTCGTCTTCACCACATCTATCGGATTCGACGCCACCGCAGCAACGATCCCCGCGGCAAAACTCGCCGCCGCGTGCGTTCCGATTCCTCCCGGCGTTCCACGGCCTCCGGCGATCAGGATCTCTTTGACGTGATCATACGTGGCGAGCTGAGAAGCCGTCACGATCATGGCTCGGTTCACCGTTAGCCACGAGCCACGCCATAGGCTAGAGACGCCTTCGTGTCTCACGATACGTTCGATCGCGTCCACGACGCTCTTGTAGTTTCTGCGGCGGTGAAACGGTAAGCGTCCGTCGGCTTGCATTCTCACCATTGCCACGTCAGCGGGGTTTCCGACGGCGGATCCTATGGCTCCGGCGATGAGCCCAGCGGCGATCTTTGTTACCAATGGGAAGTTACCTGTAATTAGAACATGTTGTCGGGTTAATTATGTTGAGAACCAAACCAAATTAGAATGCTTAAACCGAACCGGGATTTGTTTTTTTGTTTTCGTTATCAATTTATATAGATTGACTACAAACTATTAAAAACCGTTCGAGTTAATCTTTTATAGTCACAAAACAGAATTTGATGAAATTTGAATCAAATTTAAGAAAACCAAGAAGAATAAAATATTTAGTCAACTATATTAATTAAATTAATAATGTAACCAATCTAATTAATTGAATCTAAAAAAGATTGAATCATTAATAGAAAACTGAAAAAAACCAATAAAAATTGAATAATAAATAAACCAAAAATAGAATTATACACCATAATGTATATTTTACGTTTAATGTATAATCCCAATTTATACAAATATAACTTATTTTTATTTTCTACTAAAATAATTTATTATCATTACCGGTGAGTTGGTCCGTCCATTTCCGTTTCAGAAAGTCGTAAATACCCATACGAGTGGCGGAGTAAAGCATCTGACGGAGAACAGTAGCGGAGACGCCGGAGAAGAGAGCGGCGGGTCCTTCAGTTTTGACAATGTGGGCCCCAACGGCGAAAGGAGTCGCGCTGGAGCGCGTAGAGGAAGGCGGCGTGGGAGTGGATGCAGGTAACAAGGAGATGCTGCCGATGAGAGAGTCAAGAGCGAAGACAGGTCTATACGGTTTAACGGGAAGATTAAGATCAAGATTAAGATTATGGTTAGGGTTTTGGTCGAGAGAGAAAGCGTGTTCGCCTTGGAGCTGCATACGGACTTTGATGAGGTCTAATGGATGAGTCAAAGCTCCGGCGATGATTGCGGCGATGCCACCTTCGAGAAATGGTTTGAATCCCATTGATAACGAGAGGGTTTGATTATGCGGAGATGTGTTATGATTAATGTGTGTGAAAAGCAAGAGAGGAGTTTGAGAGAGATTGGATCTTTTGTAAGGAAAAAAAAAATGTTTGGAGAGGAAAAAATGAATTTGGACAAGTTGGAAGTGAAAGAAGACAAGAGAGATAGGTCAGAAAGAAAGAAAATAATGCAGCGTAATGTGTTTGTGTACTAGTCCTGCATTACGGGCTCCAGCTTTAGCACGAGGTTTATCTTGTCTTGATGCACACCTTGTAATTAGAGAAAATAATGTAATTGGCACGCTATCATTTTTCTTACATAGATTTACCAATAATGTTTTTATAGGTAAATGGATTTACTAAGAGTTAAATATAATTTTTGTACCACAAAGAGACATACGACTAGTTGGTTACGAGAGATAACCAGTACATACTTATATTAAAGAAGAGCTAGAGACCCATACATGAAATGAAACTCTAGTACATAAAGATCATTATCATTAAATTCTAGTTGTTAGTTTCGGTTAAGATACAGTTCTTATTTTTTTTAGATTTTAACTAAGAAAAACTAAAAACCGTCTCTTAAATAAAATATATAAGATCCGTTTCTTAGCCAAAAAATGTAAAAAAAAAATTCAAATCATGAGTTAAGAACCCGACTAAGAAACCGGAGTTAATGATGCCCACTATGGATTCTATAGAAGATCTTTCTTGACTTTAATAACACAAGCCAAACTATTATTACATTTATACTTTATATTAGCAGTAATATATCATGCAAGAGTATTCACAATACAGATGTTCTTTTAACGTTCTTGGCCATTTATCTATGGATTCTTGTTCGAACCACTTGAAGTTTCCTTAGAAACACTCGTGCTCTTCACATTAAACTCTTCAGCCGTTGAAGAAGATTTTGTCTTTTCAGTCTCCGGAGAACCTCCTCCAGCCCCGGGAAAAGGAAAGCTTGGGATCCATGATGGAAATTCAAATGTAGGCTCTTCTGGCTCTTCGGGAACCTCAGGCTCTTCTGGCTCCTCGGGAACCTCAGGCTCTTCTGGCTCCTCAGGAACCTCAGGCTCTTCTGGAATCTCCGGCTCCTCGGGCAACGGCAACTCAGGCTCGTCTGGAATCTCCGGCACCTCAAGCTTTTTATATTGTGGAATCTTGGTGATCTCTTCTTCCATCAGAGAGTGACCTACTCTAGTAGCAAAACTATGCGTACCAAACAAAAAGAATGACGAGACAAAGATAAGGAAAAAGATGGAAGATGTGACAATATGATGGCGAAGGCTAGTCATCTTTTGTGATATGATTCTTCTTTCTTGTAGAGATTATGTTTGTAAAAGAATGTGATCTTATGTATACTGACTTGAGACTTGAGAGAGCTCTTAGAATGTACACTTCATAATATAGTCAAAAGATTTGGTGAGAAGAACTCTACCTATGGTTGTGAATAATGTGATGTTAGTCTTCAACAAACTCACCTATATTTCATTTTTACCTTTTTCTATGCATAACCCTTTAAGTTTAGTTGGGAAATTATTAGGTGTTCAAGTTGTAAACATTAGACGTTGCAAGATAATTCATATCTGCAATATGAAGTATATACTACTTAATAAACAGATCATATATTCAGAAAATGCTCTCTATTATTTAAACGCATGAAGATGTTTTAGACCAAATCTAAAAGTAGAGCAAAGAAACAAAGACATAACAATGTAAAGAAAAAAAAAACAACGAAAGTTCTTATTTTAGAGAATAACATATATTAGAGTAGATTCTTCACTTGAGAGGGATAAACCTGGAAGAATTGGTGGCACCAACACCAGGCCTACCGTGCTTAACAGGCTTATATGAGATCGAAAACTCAGCCAAGTAATGACCAATCATCTCAGGTTTGATCTCAACTTGGTTAAAAGTCTTTCCGTTGTACACACCGATGACACTTCCAATCATTTCAGGGACAATGATCATGTTCCTTAGGTGGGTTCTCACTGCTTCTGGCTTCTCACCAGCTGGTGCATCCCTTTTCTGCTCAAAATTCATAACCTCTAATCCTTAAAAACCAATTGGTTGCAAAGAGAAAGCACAAAAAAATATATAGAGAATAAGCATGAACATATGCATATAAAGGTTACATACCGCTTTGCGCAATTTTTTTATCAAAGCCATAGGCTTCCTCGTCAGCCCTCTAGAGAACCTATCAAGAAAAAATCACATACAAAAATGATTAGCATCAAAACCAAGAGACTCGATCTTAGACAAAGCTTTTCTTGTTCAGACCTTCTGCGAATACGGGAGCTGAAGAGCTTGACAAGATCATCGGTTGACATGTCGAGAAGAGCATCGAGATCGACTCCTTTGTAGGAGAACTTCTTGAACGTTCTCTTCTTCACGATCCCAGCTGTAGCAACTGCATCTGCCTACGGATTCCCATGTCGAGAGATTACAAAAATAATAATGAGAATATGAAAGAGAGAAAGAGATCTAGGAACTAACCATTGTTCAAATTGTTGAAACCCTACAAATTGAGAAAGCCTCAAAACAGTGTCTGCGCAACAAACAACTTAACTTAAGAAGGAATTATTATATACTTTGGGAAAACCCTAGAATCATTTTTATTAGTTAAAATAAATATTATTTTTAACTTTTTATAGGGCCATTTTTATCGGAAAATTAGAGCTACAAAATAAAATAAATAAACCAAAACTAGCCAAGTCAAAATACAAATGAGAAAAACTAGGTAGATCATAACAGTAATATGAGTAAAAACTCACTGGTTATGGCTTCTCATTAGCTGGTGTCTCTCTTTTCTTGTTATGGAAGCAATAGAAAATTGGTAACTTTTAATGTTGCATTGCATAGAACGAACACACAACTTCTCAACCATTTTCAAGTTAACTTAATATGGAAAAGCACACACATACAAAGAAATATGTTATAAATAACCAACACAAAATTCATTAAATAAAAGTATATCAAATACAAAGAAATTTGTATGCATGAAAACATACAAATATAACAGAGAATACAAGTATAAATGTATCAAAAAGAAAAAGAAGCATGGGTACTAAAGGAAACGATGATCTGAGATATACAGACACAAGTGTATATCTCTGCCAAAAGACAAACAAGATAAATGTGATATAGTAATTTAAGATCATAGGGTGGGTCTGGTTCCGATAGGCTTAGTGAGTTCCAGGAACCTTTGGGATTTCAGGCAACTTGGGAACTTCAGGCATTTTTGGTAGTTCTGGCTTTGGAATCTCTGGAACTTTCGGTAACTCTGGTTTTGGAACCTCTGGAATGGTCGGTAACTCGGGTTTTTGAATCTCTGGCAATTTAGGAGTCTCGGGCTTTGGAATCTCTGGCATCTTTGGTAGCTCTGGTTTTTGAATCTCCGGGAACTTAGGAGCCTCAGGCATCTTTGATAGCTCCGGCTTAGGAACCTCTGGAATCGTTGGTAGCTCCGGCTTTGGAATCTCTGACACCTTTGGTAGCTCCGGCTTTTGAATCTCTGGCATCTTTGGTAACTCCGGCTTTGGAATCTCTGGCATCTTTGGTAGCTCTGGCTTTTGAATCTCTGGCACCTTTGGTAGCTCGGGCTTAGGAACCTCTGGCACCTTTGGTAACTCCGGCTTTGGAATCTCTGGCACCTTTGGTAGCTCCGACTTTTGAATCTCAGGCATCTTTGGTAGCTCGGGCTTAGGAACCTCTGGCACCTTTGGTAATTCCAGCTTTGGAATCTCTGGCACCTTTGGTAGCTCCGGTTTTTGAATCTCAGGCATCTTTGGTAATTCGGGCTTAGGAACCTCTGGTACTTTTGGTAACTCCGGCTTTGGAACCTGTGGAACCTTTGGTAGCTCCGGCTTTTGAATCTCTGGCATCTTTGGCAACTCGGGCTTTGGAATCTCTGACACCTGTGGTAGCTCTGGCTTTGGAACTTCCGGCAACTTAGGAGCCTCAGGCTTTGGAGTCTCCATCAACTTAGGCATCTCAGGCTTAGGAACCTCTGGCATATTTGGCAGTTCTGGCTTAGAAATCTCCGGAAAGTTTGACAACTCAGGCTTGGGGATCTCTGGGAACTTAGGCAACTCAGGCTTGGGAATTTCAGGAATTTTAGGCAACTCAGGCTTTGGAAGTTCGGGTAACTTGGGCATCTCTGGCTTAGGGAGCTCGGGCAACTTGGGAACTTCGAACTTGGGTAGCTCAGGGTGAGGTAGTTCAGGCAGCTTTGGTATCTCCGGTTTAGGAACTTCCTCCACTAACCGGCGAGCGTCTACTGAAACCGTATCAGCCAGCAATGCAATAAGACAGATGATCAGAATTGGTGATGAGAGGAGAAGAGTAAAGAGACTCTTCTTCATCAGTGCCATGCTTGCTCGCTTGCGTGAGAAGTTAACCCTTTTTGTGTTTGTATGCTTCTTTTGCTTTGTGATGTTTGTTTGATGTTGGTTTGTGATGAGATTTTAGTTCGAATGGCTATTTAAAGGTGTTTTTAGGAAGATGATAGATGGAGTTTGGTGGGAAAAAATCAGTAGGACTTTTTAAATTAATAAAGTTCGTTTAACCTCTCTATCTGTATATCTACATGTCATTTTCAATCTAGTTGAGTTTTAGGTTTTAGTGTTTACGTGTTCACTGTTTTTCTTACACGTATATCATAGAAAAAGGCTTAAACTTTGTAAACTCGAGGAACTAATCTTGAAATTAGTCATCTAACTATACAAATTTTATCTTAAAAAATAACTAAAAAAATCAAGATCTAGGTTTGATCAATTCTATGTATCTTAAAAAGCTCTAGTCAGTTGTGTTAATTCTGATGAATCATAACTAGTTTCAAAATGATAATTTATGCACGTAAACTAGGCAAATTTGCAAGCCTGAATACGCCGTTTTTAGAAGAAAAATAAACAAATAAGGTTTAGGTTTTGGCCGGTAATCTACACAACGACTTAATTAGATCCTTTGACATTGTGTGTATGTTATATACTATTTGTCATCGAAGTCATAGGAGTACAATGTGTTTAATACTTGATCTTCTTACAAATTTTACAAAAGGGAAAAGAGAAGTTACAGGATCGTAATCATGACATATTCGTCTAAATATAGTAAACTTACGTGCCTTAAACATTTTGTATTGTTTACATAGAAACCGAGTATTTGTAACTAACAACACGGTCATAATAATAATTAACGTGAAAATTTCTCTCATGGGGTTAAACGGTAAGATCGGAGGTGGTGTTAAGACTGGTTTAACAACCACACATCACCCTCTATTTCCTTTTTCATCCCACACACTTTTTTCTCAATAAAACTTAATCTATTGGAGATCAGAGAAGACTTAATTAAAGACGAACGACAATAGAGATAGATATTGATTACAACAATGGATGAAGAATATGATGTGATTGTTCTTGGGACTGGTCTCAAGGAGTGTATCCTTAGTGGTCTCCTCTCTGTCGATGGCCTCAAGGTTTTATTTATCTTCACAATTGAGCTTCTTTCTGTGCATCAAATTCATTTAAAACTTATTTTTACACTTAGCTTCTAGCTTTTTTATATAGTTCTGTGTGATGTCAGATCAATAGTTACATTAATGATGAAATATAATGATCCAATGATAACAATTTGACCTTTGCTAATATATAATCAATCAATGGTCTACCAGATGATTAACTTGAAATGTGTAAACACATGCATAATAATTAGATTATCTTTCAAATCCGGTACAGGTACTGCATATGGATAGAAACGACTACTATGGAGGAGAATCAAGTTCTCTTAACCTCACTCAGCTATGGAAACGTTTCAGAGGAAGTGACACTCCTGAAGAAAATCTTGGAGCCATCAGAGAATACAATGTCGATATGATCCCAAAGGTATTTTATATAGAAATTCATAGGATCCTGCATATATATGTAATGTGGATCTCTTGATGCGGATCATGGTTTCTTGATATGCAGTTCATAATGGCTAATGGAACCCTTGTACAAACCCTAATTCACACTGATGTCACCAAGTACCTTAACTTCAAAGCTGTTGATGGTAGCTTCGTCTACAAGAAGGGCAAGGTAGTAACCAACTATGTGTTACCTTTTAAAAACAAGTTAACCACTCAGATATTTCTTTTGAAATTCAGATCTATAAAGTCCCAGCCACTGATGTGGAAGCCCTAAAATCACCACTGATGGGTCTATTCGAGAAACGACGTGCGAGAAAGTTCTTTATCTATGTACAAGACTACGATGAGAAGGATCCTAAGTCTCACGAAGGACTTGACCTCAGCAAAGTCACTGCTAGAGAGATCATCTCGTACGTAAAACATATGTTTCTTCCATCTCAAGTCATTTCATCATAGTTTCTTGCGTTACAAGCTTTGTTTCTCTGTTTTTTTTTTTGTCAAATAGAAAGTATGGACTAGAAGATGATACCATTGACTTCATTGGCCATGCCTTAGCACTTCACAATGATGATGACTACTTGGATCAACCCGCCATTGATTTTGTTAAGAGAATCAAGGTAAAAGTGTTTTTTCATTCTTCTTCAACAAGGACATGTTCTGATCTCAGTGTCCTTATATTGTTTTGCTATGTGGTGAAGCTATACGCTGAATCTTTGGCACGATTCCAAGGAGGTTCACCTTACATCTACCCATTGTATGGTCTAGGAGAGTTGCCACAGGCTTTTGCGCGTTTGAGTGCTGTTTATGGTGGGACTTACATGCTAAACAAGCCTGAATGCAAGGTTACACACGGTCAATTAATTGTTAATTGTTCTTAAAGATGGCTAGAAGTTCATAAATCTCTAACCTTGTCCCTAACAGGTTGAGTTTGATGGTTCCGGAAAAGCTATTGGTGTTACTTCAGCAGGAGAAACAGCTAAATGCAAAAAAGTTGTCTGTGATCCTTCTTACTTGTCTGACAAGGTAACCCTAAACGCATTTTCACCTACTAAAGGTTACTTGTTGTACGGGACTAAGACGGTTCCCTTGTATTATAGGTTAAGAAAGTTGGAAAGGTGGCTCGAGCGGTGTGTATAATGAGTCATCCTATTCCAGACACCAATGATGCTCACTCAGTCCAAATCATACTTCCTCAAAAGCAACTAGGCCGCAAATCAGACATGTAAAAGATTATAACTAAAGAACACATTTAACTTGGTAATCTCTGAGGTTTTGGATTTTGTAGGTACTTGTTCTGTTGTTCATACGCTCACAACGTGGCACCAAAGGGCAAATACATAGCTTTTGTGTCCGCAGAAGCTGAAACTGACAATCCAGAGGAAGAACTTAAACCTGGAATCGAATTGCTTGGACCTATTGATGAGATCTTTTACCATTCTTATGATACATACGTTCCCACTAATCAACAAGAAGAAGATAACTGCTTCATCTCTGGCGTAAGTGAACATTCAGAATACATCATATATTGGAAGTAATTTTTGTGTCTTACATGTCTTGTTTTCTTTATTATCAGACTTATGATGCAACAACACATTTCGAGAGTACAGTTGCGGATGTACTAGAGATGTACACCAAGATCACTGGAAAGGTAATAACAAACTCATCACTTTGTTTCTTGGGTCACAAGTAGACGCCAGATTTTGAATACTGAGTGTTTCCTGTGTCTTTTTTTTTTGCAGACACTTGATTTGTCTGTGGACCTGAGTGCTGCGAGTGCTACTGCAGAAAACTAATAACTTTCTTTTGTTACTACACTCAAGAGTTTTTATATTGCAAGTGACCCTTTCTCTTTCTGCTGGATATTTACAATACAGTTTAAAGTTACAGAAACTTATCTTATAACACTGGTTGAATTTGCTTTAATTTATGTTGTTTATGTTATGATAGATAAATACTTTTCCTTGATTGACATTCTCAAATTTTGAAAAAATAAAGTTAAACTAATTACATATACACTTTTTACATGCTAAATGTATGTATAAACTAAATCAATCATTTAAATATTTTAAATCTGTACACAAGTTTATACTTTGAAACAATATAACAAGGCAACAATAAACTAATTTATAAGCTCTACATGCCCTGATCAGAATTTAACCAAAGTGAACAGTTTTTTTTTTTTTGAAAATATTCATCTGACCTTTACTAAAACTTTATTAATAAGCATCATTATAATGATAATAATAATAAAAGTTATCAGCATCACCTAACCGGACCGGCTCAACACGAGCAGATTTATTCGCCACAGCTTACCAATTCCAGAGTACTGATTACCAGTTTTACACGTGGCAACAGCACGTCCGTTTACTTACTAATAGACTAGGTGACCGGTCCGCACTCTGTGCGGGCATAAGTATGTTCAAAAATTTATTATAATAGTGTATCGATTTAGAAGTAACGGACTACACCATGTTTTGGAGAAACCCTACACCATGGAGAAAAGCCGGTACTCAATATTTGACATTGTATGAGAGGGTATAAAATAACGCACATGGTGCGAGCAGTTATTGTGTGTATGTATAATTGCAAAGTCTCAAAATAATTAGTGTGTTTTACGAAAATATTTTCATTCGTCATCTAATGGATTTGCTAAGACTTCTTATAAAAAGAATTGACAGTTTTAGAAGTAACAGATTTTATATTATCATGTGTAATTAGAATTATATTATATATATGTTGTATTTTTTATTTTTAGGTGAATAATAGTATTATGTTTAATTTTCAACCTTATTTCTGTACGCATATTAAAAGAAAATATAATAAATTTCAAAATAAGCTCCCAAAATAAAAATAAAATTATTATCCATAAATAATATAAATTTATGAAGTACAAAATCTCGATAAAGGTGTAGCAAATCCATTAGACACCTGCAAAAACGAAAACATTTAAGGTCTCAAACCTATTTAATATTCATACTATGGCGGTATATGATGTAGCTATGAATTAAAACAAAAATTCCATTTTTGATAATTTTTCTTGAAATATGTGGGTCAACCCCTTTGAAAAACCTGAATTTTCTAGTTAAATACTATACCATCTTTCGTGTTGTTTAAAAAATACCTAAACCCACTTCAAATATTTATATATATTTACTAAACTTATCTTTATGGTACATGTGAATCATTTCAAATTTTCCAATGATTAATTTATTTAACATTCATATACCACTTAATATGTGGATTAACCCCAATAAAAATCCAATTTTCTAGAGAAACGAAAACATTTAAGGTCTCAAACCTATTTAATATTCATACTATGGCGGTATATGATGTAGCTATGCATTAAAACAAAAATTCCATTTTTTATAATTTTCTTGAAATATGTGGGCTAACCCCTATGAAAAACCTGAATTTTCTAGTTAAATACTATATATGCTATTTACCATCTTTCGTGTTGTTTAAAATATACCTAAACCCACTTCAAATATTTATATATGTTTACTAAACTTATCTTTATGGTACATGTGAATCCTTTCAAATTTTCCAATGGTTAATTTATTTAACATTCATATACCACTTAATATGTAGATTAACCCCAATAAAAATCCTATTTTCTGGAGAAACGAAAACATTTAAGGTCTCAAACCTATTTAATATTCATACTCTAGCGGTGTATGATGTATCTATGCATTAAAACAAAAATTCCATTTTTGATAATTTTTCTTGAAATATGTAGGTTATCCCCTATGAAAAAGCTGAATTTTCTACTTAAATAATATATATAGTATTTACCATCTTTCGTGTTGTTTAAAAAATACCTAAACCCACTCCAAATTTTTATATATGTTTGCTAAACTTTTATTAATGGTACATGTGAATCATTTTAAAATTCCAATGATTAATTTATTTAACATTCAAATACCACTTAATATGTGG